AATTGGACAATAATCATAGCCGCGGGTTGCTACAGGCATCACTTTTCCTAACAGCTCAAGAACTGGTCTAGTTATTCCTCTACGTAGAGTAACGAATATAACTATTAAATTTCCCCTCAAACTACTCGCTCAGAATTTTCAACTACACTTGTATTTGTGCACACACCAAACAACTTCCTGCACTTCTTAGAAAGCAATGCACACCGTCAGCGAACACCAAACAGAGTCCCAAGACTAACCTCTGTCTCTCAGACGGCGGGCCTGTATAGTGCAATGGTTTAAGGAAATCTTTGTTAACAAACTTCTCCACCTCGTACACCCAATGTCCTGTTAGTGTTGGTGGGCAAATCACGAGAGAAGGCAAAGGTTTGCAATCACTATTACCCGTCTCCTATTCGGTGCAGAAAAAAGAGAGGAATGTCGAAACTGTGATTCACACGATTGAAAGTTCACTCGTTTGTCCCGCGATGTAGTTACTGATTTGAATTCGATCCAACACTGGACCCATTCCTATGTGCGAATAGTTTAAATTACTACGTGCGCCTAATGGGACTCATTACCTTAAAAAGAAAAAAGACCAGAAGTTTGGCAGCAGAAAGTGGCCATCATATGGTAACGTTAAACCGTAAGAGAACGTAGAGGACTGTATCTGAATAATTACGGCAAACATGGAACGAACATTTTAGTACAGTACTCTTTCCTCTGTTTTGTTTTGTTTCCCTTTTTTTTTTTTGGAATTCCTGATCAATTGCAAAATCAACCTAGAGCAGAACTTTTTGACTTGGTTATTGCTACATTTTGCCAGAATAAAGATAATCTCTTGTCACTCCCTAATAAGGAAACCAGAAGGAAAAGACAACTTCAATCTTTATCCAGACTGGATCCGTTGCCTGGGAGTCGAATACTGTACCTTGTATACTGTAGCTTTTTCATGGTGATCACCTGCTATGATACAAATAGACTGAAGAGTTTTACCAAGTCCCATGTCTGATCTCACTGTTAAGATACAAATCGAATCCAAAAAACAGACGGAGCTATTCCGAGTTATCGAATTTAACTGAACTCAACTGTGCTGTTCTTTTCTCAACTCCTCCAGAACCCTGCAATCATTAAGAGGTCTTGGGACGCAATTTATAGTGACATAAAAATGAGTCAATTATGTACGCAAATAATTTGGGCCGAAGTTTTACAAGGAAAAGTAATGAAGGATACCATCGCATAGAATACCATGCAGCTTGTAACGGTTGAGAAAGGCCAGCCAGTTGACACCATCCTAAATATGAACAAAGTAGAAGAAACTCAAACAGATGACACTAGCAATGCCCATTATTCTTCACACTGAAAAACATCTGAGCATTCCCAACAAGATGCCCGACAACACTGAGTTTTGGTAGACTTATCTCGGCTTTAATGAAATCAAATAGATACGTTTTCTAAATGCTGCAGTTTAAATTGCACTTTATGCCAACTGTTCCCTCACCCTTCAAATCTGTAAATGATAGTGAGCTTCGGCAGACTGTGTGCTACCTTCGATGGGACACAAGCTACCATCGTCGCAAACCGTTCAGTACATCATTTCAAATACAGATCCCTAGTTCATAATTCCAGCATGAATAAAGGCTTTCTTTCCGCTGTTTTCGTGTAGCACCCTACCTGTTGATATTTTCTCAGCTCAGCTTTGATAGGAACAGGAATAGTGTAATTCTCCACCTTTTTACCGTCCAAAAGTTGCTCCAGAAATTTTCGTTCCTTCTGTTTTTGCTCCACCATAGCTTTGGACATGCGGGGCGGGTCAGGAATACCAGACTACAGAAAACAACAGTTAAAAATTAAGGAAAATGAATATAGACTAAAGGAACTAATAAAATAGTCAAAGGGTTCCAGTTTAGGACTGCATGTCTTTCTATCCTAGCTCCGTCGAAATAAAATTACGAACACTTCAGTATGAATCACATACAAATCTCAAGCTGTGAGATATATGTCCTCTTTGTTCTTTTACCTCCGTTCCCATTAGAGGTGTCATCCAACCAAGAATATTACAACAAAGATGATGTACACGGACCATCAAACCATGGCATTAAACAATGACATTTCTGTCAAACCTATCGCTTAGATGGACAGGGTATATTCCGACAAAATAAAAGACAAGGCAGACAATAGCAAGCTGCGTAAAATGTAGCATGGTAATGCGCTCAGTCATTGTCAAAGTGAAAGACTTAAAACTACTAAAACTACAAGTTAACCTAAATACCTCAAGAGGCATAAGCCTAATAAGTGTGGCAAAACAGTATGTGGCCATGAGTCGGACATCTTCGCACTGGTCACTCATCCGTCCGAGCACAGGCACAACCAGGAGAACAACGTAAGGCACCGCACCCATTCCGAGCCGATCAATTACACCTGATGTAAAGCAACCAGTTAAGGATACCAACATATGTGTGTATAGTGAAAACACAGCGAAAATAAGCTTCACTCTAAAATGGCGAGCAGAAATGGACCAGTCACCATTTATCGTCGGGGGCGAAGGGAAGGGGGAGGATTTTAGGAGGGATCACTCGGTTTTCTGATGGAATTGAGGGAGGATCAGTCTATAGGAGACTATGGAAAATTAACTGCCCATGGAGGGGGGGGGGGAGTAATAAGAATACTACAAAGCTGTGGGGTGGGAGGGGGTGGGGAGAAACAGGTAAATCTTATTGTGACACGACCAAAAATCCTCCGACCTGAAATTTTTCTTTAATTGAATCATTCATACCACATCTGTGCACAGCCAATATACGCTAAATTTAGACGGAAACGTCATTTCTGCATTAGTTTTGGTGCACTACGATAACTTTCTCGAGCATAACATTTGTTGTCAGCTTTTTAAGGATACAAGATATAGCTTCTATAGCTCCTTGACGGTTCCTGATAACATCAGCAGTGCCCATCAAAGGTAAGATATCCTTTACCACTATCTTCATGGTATCTTCAGTGGACACAGTGCACAGCACACCCAGGCACCTGGCTGCCAAGTGTCGCACTGCACTGTAAGGGTGCTGAAGGCACAGTACTATATTGGGGAGCAAATCTAAAATCTAAAAGGCAAAAATAAAGATTAGGACTAGTTTAGTTCATGTTGATAAGAATATCAAAGCCATTGTAACCACTAGAAGGAAAGAGCACAACATCTTGTGAAGACCTCCTTTCCAAATGGCACTACACGCAAGCTCACTGAGAAAACCCAAAATGAGGAAAGTTGCTGGTAGTGTTCAATGTTACCTTAGATAAGAGTTCCACATGCATTGCAGGTGTCAATACTTCAAGAACTTGTAAGCAGTTTATCAGATTTTGGGCTTCATTATCCAGACCAATAAGTTTTTCAGGATCTACGACAAAAAGAAAATAAGAACAAGAAAAGAGATATTTAAGAATTGAGGTAAATATGTCCTAATCTTTAATGCTTTGGAATTCTACATTGTACTATTCAGTCTCTCTCGTGACACATTAGTTGTATCATTTCAAAAGTCAAACATGTAAGCTAGACTTCCACGAGTGGCTCGAGGAATTTCCTCCGTACTATTGTTTATCACAGTTGCTCGCCTCCAATCTTCAATGGTCCGTATGAAAAATATCTCAGTATGTATGAAATTGATGCATCACAACTTGGGAATAAATGTGTTTGTGCGCACTTTCCATGGAATAATCTTTAAAAGATACACCACTACTCCAAACTACAGTAACACTAATAACAAATTTCAAAAGTATTCTGCTAACACTCAAATTAAGCGAAATCATTTAATTGCTTTTAAATATCCTTAAGTATGAAATCCCATGACTCAAGTTCAATGAGCCCATGTGCAGTACTCACCAAATGAATTTCCATTTGTTGTCTGCTGTAAAGGCTCCACAACTGCCTCCCACAGTTTGGGTAACTTTGATGGTAGCAAGCTTCCAAAAT